GGAATCAATTCTCAGGTTGTAACTTGTATAAATGACTCGTCTGAAAAGTGTTGATAGCTAGCCTCCACACAGGTTATGCCACTACCTTCACACTGAGACACAATTCTGCTGCCGACAATACCTGCGACAACGTACAAGCTTCGTACGAATCTGCAACAAATTCCCACATAGAAACAGTAACCAACCGACAACACCTCCAGAATTGTACCTGCAAAACGACAAAATAAGTTGTGCCTCATTTTGAAAATGAAAACACAGCACCACAGACAACTGTACCTTCACGCAACGTTGCAAACCGTTTCACAGCCTGTCACTAAACCACGCCACTAATCCCTAAATACATAAGGCCATCACAAAAGAGGAGGCGGGTTTAAGTTGATGAGGACCTCTTCAATCATCTTCAAAGGAGAGAAAAAATAACAAGAATCTAAAAAAGGGAATCTGGGTATCAACCTTCAACTTCATGAACCCTTCCCTACCATCTTCAACCAATCGAAACCCATCCTCTCTTCTTCAACCAAAACCTTCAATCTTTGAAACCCTTCTACCTCTATTCCCCCTCACTGACCTCCAACAAACCCAGTCTTCACCTCAAACCCTCAACAACCTTCTGCAACACCTGTTAAACCTCCATAAACCATCACCCCAAATCTTCAACTATCATACACATCATCTTCCTCCTTCAAACACTTCATAACCCTCCGTTAAATCGTCAACCTCATCTTCAACTGTCAACCCATAAATCTCCCAACACCCTCAACCATTGCAAAATCAAATCAAACACGGAGACATAAATGAGAAACGAGATGAAATAGAAAGAAGTAGAAGAGGGTTCAACAGGGAACGAAATCTCAAACAAAACCTGGGTTAAGATTGAACTTGAGAGGAATACGAATCTAGAGTGAAACCGACGCGGACTTAAACGAAAAGTTGAGACGGAAATGATGAGCTGATTTCGTTGCAAGAAGGCTGGACGGATCGACTTTACTTTGATCTCGTTTCGTCAGTACCTGGTGTTCTTGAAGTAGATCAACCGTTTTCTACGTGGGTTACTTTAGGTTTTAGTTTTTTTCTTTATTTTTTAGAAAGACAACAAGGTTTTGGGCCGAGGTCATTCTTGTTTGGATGAAATGGGTTTAAGAAAATTAGGATAACTCCATCTATTTATTCATTATCCCCACCCCATTTTTTTGTCCCCCTTGATGCCAAGATCTGTTTCGGAATGATGGGCTTAATTTTAAGCCCAAATGATTTCCATGTCCACACACTCTTCTTATGTACATCACCCCTTATTTCAATTTTCACCCCCTATTTTCTTTTTTATGTTTATTTTATAATTTAAGTTTTTAAATTTTGTATATATTTTCTAATAGCTTTTTTTAGATTATTAATATATTATATTTTTAAACCAGTTTGTTAATATTATTTTTTAGTTTTATCTTTATTTGTTATTGGACATTTTGTTCCACTTTCCGTTTTGGTCGATGACGAGACCTCCGTAAACCGTTATTAAGTCAAACTATTGATAAATGACGTTGGATCTGAGACCACCTTCTTTCTCTTCTCATTTCTTCACTTTCGATTTTATTTCAACTTTTTGGATCGATGAAGTCTTGTATCCGCAAGCGTCGGATTTATCGGAGTTGATAACCTTCCCGATTTCAAATCTATGGAAAATGACCCCATTCTTTTTGTTTACAGTTAAGACGAGATCCCATTCTTTTTGGTCCATGCGACACGATTCAATTGGAGAACGATCCTCAATCTCGTTTCTCTATCTTGTCCATAGCACGGAAATCAATACGCGACCTCTTATAGTTTGACTTCCATTATAAGTTGAGCTACGACGGTTTAGCGTCGCATTGTGTCCCGATTCGATTCAAAAACACTGTCAAACCATCTTTAATAAAAGAATCGAGTTCTCTACGTATTGAACTAAAGAGAGAGGATTGAGTGTAGACTTCTTCCTCTCCGAGTGTCAGGATACTCACTGTAGTGTGTGTGGTCTTGATACTCGTCTTTCAATACGAAGACGCTTGTATTCTCCACACCCTCTCTCCTAAAACCTCGGTCCCGTACCGAGTGCATTTTCAAACCTTTTTCTCCTAAAAACCTCAGTTCCGTACCGAGTGCATTTTCAAAAACATCTTCCATTAGAAAATCAAGCTCTCTTTGTATTGAACTAAAGAGAGAGGATTGAGTGTAGACTTATTCCTCTCCGAGTATCAAGATGCTCACTGTAGTGTGGGTGGTCTCGATACTCGTCTTTCAATACGAAGACGTATTTCTCTTCACAACTTCTTTCCACAACTTTCTCACCTAAAACCTCGGTCTCGTACCGAGTGCATTTTCAAACTTTTTTTCATAACAAAAACTTGAATGGTCGTGGAGTGGTTAGGCGTAGGCCTTCTCCTATCCCGAGTGCTGATATTTACCATATGGTTCTCTGTCGCAAAGCACTTACCATTCAAAACCAAAAACACTTTAATAAGAGAATGAAGTTATCTTTGTGTTGAACTAAAGAGAGAGGATTGAGTGTAGACTTCTTTCTCTCCGGGTGTCAGGATACTCACTGTAGTGTGTGTGGTCTTGATACTCGTCTTTCAATACGAAGACGGTACGTTCGCCACACCATTTCATAAAAAAAGTTTTGAGATAAAGAATTGGGTACTACCTGCAAGGGATTACTATCCGAGGACCTATCTCGCCCCTAAAAACAATCCCACAAATCAAATGAGACACCTTGCCTCGCATGGCGAAAATTAACCTTTCAAAAAGGATATGTTACGCCCGTTCTACCGCAAACAGGTAACGCCTAAGTCTCCAAACGAGCGAGCATCAATACACTTAAACTGCTAGAATGCGCACGATAGCATCATCCACAAAAACACCAGTTACCCGTAGTATCACGAACTACGTTGCTCTGATTTCTCTTGCATGTTGAGAATACGTAGGCATAAGATTGCGATATCCTAGCGAGCACCCTTTCCTCTTTTCCACCCTTTCCCAGAAAGGCATGCTACGTCCGTTCTACCGCAAACAGGTAACGCCTAAGACTCCAACGAGCGAGCAACAATACACCTAAACTGCTAGAATGCGCATGATAGCATCGTCTACCAGAACTTCCCCGCAAACCGTAGCCCGAACTACGACTGCTCTGATTCTTTACTTCTTTTGAGTAAAGATACGTAGACACAAGGGCCACAATCCTTGCCGAGCACATTCCCCCTATATCTGTAGTTCCCCAAACTACGTGGACTCTGACTTTCTTATATCTGTTGAGAATACGTAGGCCTAGGACCGCGAAGTCCTACCGAGTCTGTTCTTTTTTCTTCCTCTTCTCTGTTATCTCTCTTTTCCCAGTTTCTAACCTTTCTCTCTCCCCTAGGAACACTCTTTTATAGCATGATCTTTAAGCAAATATTATCACATGTCGACAAACAAATAGTTCCCATCGAGTACGATGGATGCGAGGGGTGCTAATACCTTCCCCTCGCATAACTGGCTTCTGAACCTGTTCTTTGGTCGCGAGACCATCTTATCCGTTCCTTTCTTAGGGTTTTCTCGATATTTTTCCTTCCCCTCATGGGATAAATAAAGTTCGGTGGCGACTCTTCTATCCTTCTTTCTCGCCTCCCCGTCGTTGCATTTTTCGATTAGCGACATCCCTCACGCAGGGACACGTCATAAAGTAACTACCCCACGTCCTGGAGATCCAGTCTTCCTCCTCCCGGATAGTGCAGAACAGTTGCCCTAGGGGGAATACCACGTCCTGGTCTTCACGACGCCACGTCAGCCCTAGCAGTTACTAACATTGGGCCTGGCAACCCAGCCTAGTGCTAAGTAACCGTTGGCCCTGCGTTGAGGGCTCACTATAAATACCCTCTTCACTAGAGGGTAAAGTAACTTAATTCTTACTCTCTTTCGGTACTTGCTTCCACTCTGCTCGTCACTTACTTTGGCATTGGAGTGTGTTTCAAGTACACCCCCTCCTCGTCCATACCTTCGACGAACAGTTAGCAGATCAGCGACGCGTGGCAGGTCATTGTCTCCCTTTTGGTCAGGTACGATCATAACTATTATAAAAATAAGATAAATTTTATATATATATATATATATATATATATATATATATATATATATATATATATATATATATATATATATATATATATATATATATATATATATATATATATATATATATATATATATATATATATATGGTTTGTTAGGATACACCCTCCTATTTTTATGAAGGTGTGTTTTAACAACATGCACCTTAGAGTGTATTTAAAATGTTTTTAGTTATTAATTAATAAGACGCTCCTTCTAAAAAATAAATAGGTGTATTATAGAAAATGGTTAAAGCAGATATTAACTTACACTCACTTACTTTTTAGAATGTGTGTTTTAGTAACATGTACCTTCGAGTACATTTAACTATTTTTTAATTAAAGTTTTCTAAAACACACCTTCATATAAATAGGTGGGTGTATCATAGTAAAATTCATATATATATATATATATATATATATATATATATATATATATATATATATATATATATATATATATATATATATATATATATATATATATATATATATATATATATATATATATATATATATATATATATATATATATATATATATATATATATATATATATATATATATATATATATATATATATATATATATATATATATATATATATATATATATATATATATATATATATATATATATATATATATTTTAAGGTAATTGTGCTTAGTTGAAAATAACTCTGTTTAGTTAACAACTTAAACTACCAAAGATGTTTAAGGAAAATCCCCATCATGTTCTTTTCTTAGATAGATAATAGATATTAGATCCCGAATCGACCTTAAACCTTGACGTCTTCAAATTACAATCACAAAACAAAAACCCTAGTACATGTTTTGAGATTATTAAGGTTTTGCAAAACATTCATATAAGAGTTTCATCAAACACATGGCGTCCCTCATATCCACCAAAACCAACCACTTTCGTTACGCTTCTCGTTGTCTCTTATCTCACCTCCTTCGCAATCCCACGCCCACTTCCTCGCTTCTTTCACCATCATCACTCTCTCACCACCTTTCAACTCAACCTCGCCAGGTTCACTTCACTTTTTACCCGCAATCTGATTTTAAAAATCGCTGCTTTGGTTATAATTTCTTTGTTTTCTCCTTTGATTTCAATTGGGTTTGTTTCAATTTTCATAACATTTCACTTTCTGTTCAAATTTTAGGTTGGGAATCAAGGTTATGGTAATGGGTCATTTATGCTGTATCAGAGACTTTTATCCGGTACTGCTAATCAAGATAAACCACCAGCTGATAATAACAATTCATCAAAAGATGATTCTGGTAAAGGAAAAGAGTCTGGTGGAGAACAGGAACAGAAAAATGATGCCGGAAAATCCATCCGTGGATCTGTATGTATCTAAAATTATTGTATCAATGTACTAATGTAGTGTTCTTGTTTATTGAGCTTTTTATTTCAATGTGATTTTTATGTGATCGGGGTTAAGATTATACTTACAATGAGTTTTTTTGCTGGTATTGTGTGTTGCAGCCGGTTTCTTGGTTGAGCTTGGTTTTTCTGGTTTTAACTGGAGCTGGATTGGTGTATTACTATGATCGCGAAAAAAAACGACATATAGAAGGTAGATTACTATGGTGAGTTAGTTGAGTATTTTGTGGATATGCATGTGGAGATCATCTAAGAGTGATGTCTCTGTTAATTTTATTCTCTTTGTTTGCTGAATCATTGTTGAGATTTTACAAGATCAAATGACACTAGGTGTGCCAAATGTTAACACTTACACTACTTAATAGTGTTTTGTATACGAAGTTAACGAGCTTGAGAGTTGAACTATTATCTAGCTGATCATGCATATCCCAACATCTTTGTTTCTTAGTGGTAACATGACGACAAATTAGATGAAGCAGCTTTGTTTCTTGTTGCATTTGAAATACCAATCTGATGTTTCTTGGACATTTTTGTCATTTATTGATTCAACTTTTATTTCTGTAGAAATACATAATGCTTCAGAGGCAGTTAAGCAGGGACCTTCTGCGGGTAAAGCAGCCATTGGGGGTCCATTTGAGCTCACCAACCATCACGGAAAACGTGTAACTGAAAAAGACTTTTTGGGTAGATGGACATTGATGTATTTTGGATTTACTCACTGCCCAGATATCTGTCCCGAGGAACTACAGAAGTTAGCAGCCGCAGTTGATAAAATAAGTAAGTGTTTGTAGGCGACATGTTGCTGTATCCCAAACCAAGTTTCACATTAAAATTTAGGCTCTAATTCTCATTACGTCGCTCTCGCTCAATAAACTCGTGAAATTAAAATAATGTGATGTATGAAATAGTTAAAGTCACGATAGTTTCATCTTATAATATTGTTCAAATGGTAATCATGTCCATGTCTCTTTTGGTTCGTTACAGAGGAGAAATCTGGAATTCAAACCGTGCCAGTTTTTATCTCTGTTGATCCTGAGAGGGATACTGTTGAACAAGTCGCTGAATACGTCAAAGGTGATTTGTCATACTTCTTGAATTAAACTTATTATATCTCATGTTAGGCATTTGTTGCTGAATTATAATTAACATAACTTTTATTTTTCAGAATTTCATCCAAAGTTGATTGGACTAACTGGTAGCATAGATGAGATAAAAAGTGTGGCTCGTGCATATCGTGTTTATTACATGAAAACAGCAGAGGAAGACTCGGATTATCTTGTTGATCACTCCATAGTCATGTATGCCATTTTATTTCTACTTCATATATGATAGTATATACTATTTCGCTCCTATAAAGCGAATCTCTCACTTTTTATGATCATATGCATCACTTGAATAACAATCTACAAAAATCATTTGAATTTCAGCAATTGATTTCGATTCTTTTTTGTCACATGCTTTCTTGTCTTGCATATGGAAAATTCTATGCGCGGTTGCATTTGCGGGATATACAGCTCTTATATAGGATGATTCTTGTTGAATAACGAACACATTTTTTTCTGATATGTCAATTCTTTTCAGATACTTGATGGCACCTGACATGGGATTCGTAAAGTTTTTCGGCAAGAACAATGATGTTGACTCACTTACTGATGGAGTTATTAAGGAGATAAAGCAGTATAAGAAGAAGTAACATGCACCCTTTTCCCCTTTTGCTATTGGTAGCAATTTTTCTTCATTGTTTGAAAGAAATTGTCATTGAGTTTAGGCTTATGCTAGAAAACTATACAAGTAAGTCTAAATATAAAATTTGAAGGCTAGTTCCTTTTTAGGTGATGTTGGAGATTTTTGACAGATTTAAAAGGGCAACTTAATTGATGTCATTGTTTGGAAAAATATTATGGAAATCTTGAGATGCAACTATACTTCAACTACAACGTTTTACTTAATCTTATCTGGTATTATGAAATGAATGTTGCACTTGCTATTGAACCATTGGTCATGCTGGCAATTTTAGACTTAACCTATTATTAATATAATTAACTGGAATTTGTTTTGAGTAGGAAGAATAAGGATAAGATTGGAATTTTAAATACTTGTAAGGGCATAAGGATAATCTCTCCTATTGTTCCAACTCTCATGGAAGCAGGACAATTTATTCCTCTTGGGAGAAGGCAATCACACGAGGGAAGAATGGAGGGAGTGCCTCCTTGAGCTGCATGCAAAAGAAATACTCATCATCAAGACCAATTCAAGAAAAACCGAAACTTATCCTCATCTCACCCTTGCAAAACTTTCACCATAGCAATCATCACAATCATGAAAGATTTAACGTTTGATCACATTGAGTGTGGGTTTTTCTTAGCTTAGTTAGATTTTGATCCTATCTTTAGAAGATAACTTTATGGTTGGAAATTTTTATGTTTTTAAATGACTGTCGTTTAAGATTTTTTATACAGATTAAAAAATGCAATAATATAATCATAAAATATTGTATTTTTACTAAATTAACCTTATTAAAGTGTTGGTAATAGTTTAGAGAGTAATAATTAAAAGACACAATTGAAAAATAATAATCATTTCTATATTTAAAAGTGTTGTTGATATTCATTTTAAAACAATTTTTTTTCCTAAAACGATTATCATAAGTTATTGGTGGCAAAATAAGTGATTGATGTGAATGTAATCATTTGAGAAAGTTTAAGTTAATTTATGAATGTTAAACATTGAGAAATAGGAAAACGACCATCCTTATTTTTTTTATTCTCCCTTTTCCTCTCCTTATTAAAAGTGTCTCACGTACTAATAAATTAATATCTAGAGCTTCGTTTAAATTCTTGATCGTGTTTTCAAAAATCACACGTCAGAGGTCGTGTTTCCAGGATCGTTGTTTCCCGTGAAAATTGGAAAACAACCGTTGATCTTTCAAAATTAACTTTGGTGACTCAATCTTTCAAATCTAACTTTGGTGACTCACAGGATTGATTATAGGACATGTGCTAAATTTTACTTGAAAGAAACTACCTAAAACTGAACACTTCGACAATGTTTTTGAGAAAAAGGTTAATGTAAAGGTAAGGTTCGACTGAAATGAAAGGACATGAATTTGTAGGAAACAAAGTAAAAAGCCTTCAAAAACCTTTAAACAAAGTAAAACATAATGTCAGAAAGATGTAAATTGCAAGGAAGTAAAAATAAACTCTTTAAGATAAAGCAAAATAAGTTTCATTAAAACATAGAAATGGTGTTTTTACATGACGTATATTCTCCTAGAACTCTTTTCTCTACACTCGGATACTTTGAGTAAATTTTGGAGTAACTTGTACAATAGTAACTTACAACACCCCGAATTCCATTGCTAGAACCCCTATTTATAATAATACAATTAATTGTCATTAACCTCCTAAAATGACCAGGCCATGACAAGTGTCACGCCACATGTAGTTGTTCGCTGGATGTACGCCACTTGTCTTATTTAACCATGAGAAAGCATAACTACTCCCTCCTTTATTTGGATTTCAAATTCCACTAATATTTGGCCAGCAGTCTCGGTCGAAGGTGGTCTTTTTAATGTTAGAAATATTTTCTAAGTCCCAAATACTTTAACATTTCAACCACTCGAAGGTTTTTTTCATATTCCCTTGACAATTTTAATATTTCCCTCAACCCTTTTTATTTAATGTGAGCGTCGAATTTGTGAGCTAACAAATTTCCCCCCAAAAATGTCTTTTTCGACCATGCTGAAGAAAAAACATTATTTTTTGACAGCATCCAATTCGACGCCATCTTTCGACCTTTACATAGATGTCAATACAACTGATTACCCATGACTTGAAAGAAAATTGTTCAGTTACTTTTCACACCCGTCCATGACGTCATGACCCATTATTAACAATTTCTTGGAAACCCCACAAAATCCCAGATCATCATCACTTTCTTAGGACCTATAAAATTGTGGGTCTAGGCAATAACTGCCACCGCCCCCACTCTCATTCCTGGGACGCCGCGTGTCCCACTACTCTTAGCCCTCAATGATGAATAATGACTTTTGATTACTTCAAAACGCCTTATAAATAATTTCATCAGAAATCATTTTAACTTTTTTCCACTCCAGCAATCACTTACGTATCTCTTCCAAAACAACTCTCAATCTTTCTTCAGTAAACTCATTTCTAACAAAACTTCATCAATGGCGTCCTCTACTGCTGCCACCCAAGATCAGAAGAAGAATCCCAAGACAAAAGGACTAAAGACTGTGTCACTTCTTCCTCCCTTTGCTACACTGAGCGGGCCTAAAATGGTGAAGAACAAACAATTTATCCTTGAACCCCTTATAGAAGAGAAGAGACATATTTACGAATCACAGGTAATGATCCCTATAACTGTTGCAGGTAAATCCTTAGCTTTGGCTGACCCTCTGTCTCCTTTAGGAACCAATTATTCAACCCTTAGTGACTTTTCCCCCCTCTTATCGCAAAACCAAACCTTTAGGGCAAAAGGATCCTACCAAAGTACCTACTGAAGGTCTTGACAGCTTGAATTTACACAATGTAGACCTTAAGTATCTAAATGATGAATCCAGGTTGTTTAGAGCTACCCCTTACTTCAAGGACTCTGATCTTTACCTGAACTGGTTGACCAAAGTGAAGAATGTCAAAGCTGACGCTTGGGAGAGGACTGGGATTTACGATTTGATCATGATGTCGAAAGCAGGTCCTACCTATTGCCCCATTTTGCTGGCCTCTTCCTTGTACTTCTGGGATATCACTCATTACACTTTTCATCTTCCTTGTGGGATGATGACACCCACATTATTTGACCTAGCCGCTATCATAGGGCTAAAACCTCATGGATTGGTTTATGATCCTGAGGTGGATTGTCAAGACACTATAGGGTTTTCGACCACCAAACACACATACACCCATTTCATAAATTATTATCACAACAAGCAAAAAAAAATTGTCGAAGATCAGGAACACATAGCATTTCTAGCTATGTGGCTCTCTCGTTGCGTTTTCTGTACAAAAATTCTGCAGGTAGCAAGGAAGTACCTTACTTTAGCCAATCAATTGCACCTGAATCGAGGTATCTGCCTAAGTGAAATGATTATGACCAGTCTGTATGAGTTTCTGAGTGAAGGCGCTGGTCGATTAAAAATCCAAGAAAGCAACGGGAACCTCTTGTTGTCGGGGCCTTTCTGGCTACTCCAGCTCTGACTCAATGCCATGTTCGAGACCATCCTTCCCAACAAAGGGGTATTCGATGAAGAAGATCCTAAGATAAAAGGGAGACGAGTAGAATGGACTCGATTGGTCAAGTTAACCCTTAGTGAAGAAGGACAAACACTTAGGGCGAATATCTTTGGTTTTATTAAGATGTTCGCCAATCGCCATGAGTTCACATCACATATGGCTCCATTCACATAACGAAAATATGGCCCTGAATGCTTCACTAGGGCTTTTCCTCCTGCGTTCAAAAAATATGAAGCAGAGTCGATGCTTGTCTGGGAAGGTTTCCTAATTCCTCGGCTAATAGTCCACAAACTTAACCTCCTGAGGGGCCAGGCAACTTTGATGGCCTACCAGCCAAACCTTGTATCTCGACAATTTGGCTTAGTCCAAACGTTGCCCAAATGCCTATATGATAAGAAGACCCACGTGATCCTCCCCAATATTGTCTTCAATACTATCGAGAGTTCGACGCATCTAGCTCGACATGCTCACAAATCCCTTCTGACGCCTGTTTACTTCGAACCTTCTTACCTTTGCACCCAAGAATTCTATAACTGGTGGTCGAGGCACTATACTTCAGAATTCCTTGATATTTCAAGCTTTGTTTGCTTGATTGACCAGAATTTTGTTGATGTGTAGGAAAAAGTCAAGAAAGGTATATCCACTCATATCAAAGAGATTCAAGCCTTTCAGAAGTACTTTGAAACTGCTTACCGACCAAATGATGTTAGTCGAGCCATCCGCGAAGTCGCTGTCACGCTGAAGGAAAAAATTTCAAAGGAAATGGAGAATTTAAAAATCCCTTCGTATGTTCCTCGTGAGAAACGTTACGAAGTGGCTTTCGCCCTATTTCCTTCGAAGACTCCTCGATTGCCAATTGCTGACTTTGGAGTGGCTCTTGCCCCTCCATTTCCAGATTGGTTTATCTGTGGGGATTATATAAAAATTCATCGTCAGCAGTCGAAACCCAAGGCCCAGCGGGTGGTTCCGACTAAACATACGCTCGACAGTTTCAAAGGGAACCTTCATGTCGGTATCGAAGATGTTCGCATCGAATCCGAAATTCTTGAAGGTCATCACCCTTCAATTTTAGACTCTTTTATCTGAACTCTATTGTTACTAACTTATAGCAACGTTGTTCGTTTTGCAGCTGCCCCCAAGAAGAATCCACCTCAACCACGGGTTGAGACAAAGACTGAAGGCCACAAGGTACTTTGTGTGCCTCTTTATTTTGTTAATCTGTTCTTGATTGCTTCTAATACTTCTTGGTAACATAGGCGTCTCGCAAACCACCTCCAGCACCTCAAAAGAGGCTGAAAAGAGCCTTTGCTCAAATTATCATCGACTCGGAGGATGATGACGAATCTCCTCCCGAGGAATTACAACTGAAGAAGAGGAAGAGAACCAGCCAAGGGACAGACGTTATAGGTAACCTATCTGACCCCTCGACGGCTAAGGTCTC